CTTCCACAGCCTGCCCCTGCTCAGGTGCATATTCGTGCGGGAGAGGGTCACCGTCGTCCACGCCCACAGCTCCTTCTCTGCCATGGCCCACGACGCCCTGTTCCACGCCAAGACCATGGGGCTGCGGACCGTGTTCACGGACCACTCGCTCTTCGGGTTTGCGGATGTCAGCTCGGTGCTTACCAACAAGCTGCTGACGGTGTCCCTGTGCGATACGAACCACATCATCTGTGTCTCCTACACGAGTAAGGAGAACACGGTGCTGCGAGCAGCTCTAGACCCTCGGATAGTTTCTGTCATCCCCAACGCTGTCGATCCCACTGACTTCACTCCAGACCCCTCAAGGAGGGATGACAGTACAATAACCATCGTTGTTGTCAGCAGACTCGTTTACAGAAAAGGTAATGGGGGGTAAAATGTAAGTTTGTTTTGGTAGCTTTTTCTTTCGGGTGTGGTGAGGAAGGTCTTGGTTAGGTGCCTCTTATCTGTGGTGTGAATTGGTTTTTAAATAGGAATGACAAGTGGATGGTTCTGAGATTTAAGTGTCTGTGCTCAAGAAGAAGAAGTGCACGTTTCAGTTTGCACATGTTGGGTTCAGAGGTGTGCTTCTTTTGAAATACTGAAGATAATGAAAATGGAAATGTGTGAAATAGAAGGTTGGTCTTATATTACGGGTATGATTTAGGCCCTAACCTATATATTCTGTTAAAAAAGCTTTAACTTTTCCTAATCTAATCAAGCAACAGCAACCTATGAGGTTTTTTTCATATTTGTCTCTAATAGATCACAAGTTGTTTTTCTTTCTGAATTTTGTGTAACTGTCTTCTAGAGTCTTTGTTTATCTTCTCTTGATTGGAATTACAGCAGTAGGTTACATCATGCTAAGTTCTCAAATCAAATACAGTAACGTCTTGCCCTGAATGTTGTGCTCTTAGGTATAGATTTGCTTAGTGGCATAATTCCTGAGCTCTGCCAGAAATACCCAGAATTACATTTCTTAGTTGGAGGAGAAGGACCAAAACGCATCGTACTGGAAGAAGTCCGGGAAAGATACCAGCTACATGACAGGTTTGTTCTGGGCGTGTCTGTGACCCTTCAGTGTGCTTTAGAGGTGGGAAAGACAACAGCAGCACTCTTTCTGCTTGCCCCTCGCCTGTAAACAAAATCAAACCCTAAAAACTCAAGGCTGGAGAAGATGAAAGCTAATTGAATACAAGGCAGGTAGACCAGACACTAACTGAAGACTTAAGCAGTTGAACTATGATCCAGACCTGCAATTTACAGAGATAGCCCCTCTGTGAACTTTCTACTCGAGTCAGAGAAAAGGTGACTTAGATACAAGTTTATCATATTCCTCTCTGAAACTGCAATGTTTGTATCACATACTACAGTGTAGCATAAGGTGTTAGCTACTTTGTGTCACTGCTGCTTGTGATGATGACTGCTATTTATGTCTTGCATTATTCCAGTGTGGGGTAGAGCTTACCTAGTATGTGTCCTTGTGGTACTATGAATGGGTTTCTTTGCTGCTACCATGTTGCCAAAATGTTCCTGTGATGCTGACGTGTTTGTAGTTCTGTTGTTATTCAAAGAGTTTTGTGTGGCAAGGACAAGGTTCTTAATTTTCCATTTCCTTGGCTCTGTACTCTGTTCTGTACTTCTTATTCACTCTTTTCTGTTTCTCAGTGTCTATTCAAAATAATAAGTCCTGATCATTTGATCCTAAATACATTTCTTTTTTATCCTCTCCCTAGACATAGGGATTGATAAGACTTCACACTAGAAATTCAGATAATACAACTAAACTTAGAAAGTATGACAGATCGTAATTAACTGCACGAAGGTGTATTCTGTCACAGAACTAAAAAGCTCATTATCAATGCTTTGAAGGCAGTTACTACTAAAACACAGCAACTTCTCCCCCAAAATGTATTTTTAGAAGTTTCTTTTAGTGTGAAAATAAGAAACAATGTCTTCTATTTCTTCACTGCTGAAAAAAATTAGTGAAAACCCAACAAACATGTCTGTCTTCTTTCC